GCGGAGGACGGCGCCGGCAAGGCCCCGCCCGGCCACTTCCGAGGGGCGGGGCGGCGGGCGGGGGCAGCTCCCGCGCTCCGCGCCGTTCGTTCCTCCCCTGTGGAGAGGGCTATTCCCAACGCTTTCGGAAGGATGGGAACGATTCCCAGTCCCATCCAAAGGCTTCCTTCCTAATAAACTGCTCGCTAGACAAGGCAGGCGTTGATACACACACGCACAGACGTATTTTTAAAAAGTGCAATGTATTAATAAACGTTTTTATGTATTTTGGTCTCAGTTAAGGCTATTACAACACGAACAGTTCTGTAAACCACACAAAGTTGTCATAAAAACATACAAAAATTAAGGCAACACACATTGACCCAAACTCCCTGTTGGTCCCACGAGAGTCCATTGTACGGCGAAAGGAAAAAGGCACGGCAGCAGAATCCGGGGACTACTTTTTTCCTGTACACTCAATCCATGTGTTTTACTCAACATTAAGTTTTACGTTCTACTTTCTTCGCAGGTTTTAATTTAAGGTGAAGAACATTTGTTTTAAACAACCTCGCTTAACCCTTGCAGTACGGTACGTTTCCAGGCTGCCTTCCCGGCGGCCACTCCACGTTCACAGCCTTCCAAGGGTTCAAGTCAAAGCTGCAGTCAACTTCAAAAACAAGTCCAGATAACTTAAGGATTTCAGTTCTCCATAGAGGGAATGTGAGAGTAAGGGTCCGAAAACCTCCGTTTTACTTTTGCTGTTGGTTCGTATTCATCCAAGAGTTCCTGAGCGTGGGCCATGGCAGACCCTTGTGCAATGTAGACAGAGTGGACTTTATCAGTTCGCCTTGCTGGCTGCTCCTTCCGTCTCACCGTTACGTGAGACTCTTTGTCAGCCGAAATCCTGCCCTGGGATTCCGTACATTTGAAAATCCCAGGAGGAAGTTTTATGTTTGCTGTTGGCATCACTGGAGTTCGTCGGGGCACTTTAGTCTTCGGCAGGGTTAGAGATGATCTGTGTCTTGAAGCCAAGGATGCAGAGGAAGAATTTAAAGAAGTTTGCAAAAGAGAAGGCACTTTGCAAATGTCTTTGGCAGGCGTACTGGAGCTCTGAGCACAGCGGTGTAATCCAGTAATTGCTTTAAAGAAACAAGATACTTAGATACTGAAAGCACGCATAAAAATGTAACTTGATACAAGCAGCTGTGACCAGGTAACACCCAGTCACCCAGCTGTATGCAACGAAAGATGTAGAATAAAAAAAACACACACTACCTTAATACTGACCTTCGGTATCCATCCGTCCAGTTCTATCTTCAAGCAGGCTCTCTGTGCTTGCTGAGGTCTCAGAGTCTACATTTTCCTCATCAGAGCCTCGCTGATCAAGCTCGGGTAACCGGTAAGTTATATCTTCCCTACATCAAAACAGAGATCACAGCACTCTAGAAAGACAACGTCTCTGATACGAGCAGCTTCGTGCAGCTCATTCAGAGGCAAACCTTCCTGCATGCAGTCATTAAATATTAATTCTCATGGTATTTTCTCTCAGCTAGTCCTTTGCATTTTCCTTTTCACCTTCATGAAGGCCTACAGAACATAATTAACTAGATCATTTTGGATAAAAAGTGTAGTTTTACTATCTGTATTATCTCCAGCTGCAAAGGGCATGACTCACAGAGATAAAGGGTGACTTACTTTTCTTCTTTTATCGACTGTATGCGATCAATGAGAATCTCTTTTTCCCGGTTATCAGCTTCAGAAACTTCCTCTTCTTCATGCAGTGAGTCTAGTTCTGAGTTGCCACTGTCATTTCCTTTGACCTGTGAGCTTTTAGTCTGCAAGACAAATTTACGTGTAACTCTTCTCAGTTGTAAGCAGCTACATAATCTTGACTGTTTACTAGCTGCAAGGTGGAAGACAAACGAGTAGGCCAAATGAAGGGCTGATGGAATTGATGAAGAGCTGTTAGTTATCCATCTGAATGTTTCAAAAGGTAATAGAAATTTTTCCATTCACCCGATTTCTGGGGTTTTGTTACCTTTTTTGAAGCATAGTGATTTGATTTGCCAGTCTCAGCTTAGTTTTAGTCGTCACTTGTAAGTAATATTATTATGTCCAATACAAGTTACATTCAGAACGTCTATAAAATACCAGGGTGATGACAGAGCAGGTCAGCAGCACTGCATGCAATCTGGGGTGAAAGTTGCACCATTACATGCAGTCTTGATTGTTCAGAAGAGTATTTAAAACTAAGTTACCATATACGTAGTAAGTATTTTAGTCATGCAATAGTACCGTAAGAAAAAAAACATGCACTCTAACACAGGCAGTGTACATACCAGCATCCCCTCGTAAGGGGAAGAAAACCCAAGTTTTACAGGCCAGAGCTAGAGAGAGATGAAGACCAAATTCACTATATGCAGCTTCTGATCAGACAGTTTGGTTTGTTTTAATCAGTACAACAAAACCAAAAGTGTATTTGCCCTAGTAGAACGCAGTATGTTTTTGTCCACCATCCATCGCTGGAGTGAAGGAACAAGGAACTCCTTTGCTGGGCATGAGACCCAGCAATCTTAGTTCTAGTGATTGAATTATATGGGAACAGATTTTGAGCACTACAAGAGCAGATCCTCACCCTTGTGCCCTTCATTTAGCAAACAGACTGCAGTGCAGCCATGTATTTAGCTCCTACCTACAGCTTTGGGCAGGTCCAAATCCCTTTTCTTCTTGTCTGGCAATTGATCTTTGACTTACTGAATAGGATGGACAGGATAAATAAGTAGCACATCCCTTCCCAAGAAATTGGTGGGATGCTTTCTGCTGGATGGTGCAGTTCTGTGCTTTACGTCAACACTTACCGTATTCTGCCGAAGCAATGAGAGTCGTCGAAAAGCAATACTCTCAGCTGCTTCCAGCTGTTTTATTTCATCCATTTTTATCTTGTACTTCCTTATCTGTTCCTTTATAAGCATCTCTACACACCTGTACAAAAGGGCAAGAGTTTATTGATCAGCCTCATACTATAAAAGCTCTAGGGACAACCATGGTGGGATGAGATGCCTCTCCTGGCTTGGGGATGTTTGACACACACACACAGATGGCATGCAAAGTCTCCCAACGCCTTACAAGGGGTAGCACCACATGGTAATGGGGTGAAGAGTCCAACATGGCAAGCAGAACAGGACAGACTGTTACAGGTAGTGGCACATGTTCTTCCTGGGGTAACCGCAGCCTCTCCCACTAACTGTACACAACAATGGTAAGCAAACAGACACTACCACGGTGCTAACTGCTCCTTCTACCTGTCTTCTCTGTGCTGGCACAGACTGGTAGATACAGAATGAGCCTGCAACCGCCCTTTTCCACCTCTATGGCCCCATGGGTCAGTAAGAAGTTACAAAAAGCTGCCATTTTTCAAACTCTCTTTTCATCGGAGGCAGAAGCAAGGCCAGCCATGCAGTGAGGATGGCGAGGGGCATTCAGAGAGCTGCTGGAGGGTGAGGAGAACAAAGAGGGTCAAGGGTAGAACCTTCTTCGATTCAAGGAACAATGCAGAAGAAATTATCAGAGGTTTCCAAGTACGCAGGAGACAGTTTAATTCCATATCCTACTGTTTATTATGGCTCATATTGCAGCAAAATACACGATTAGTGTACAATCCCCTAAAAGATCACCTTGATCTAAAATACAAACATGATGTTTAAGGTTTTTAAGTCATCCTACTTTGTTTTGTAAACTTGAGACAGGTGGAAGGAGTCAGAGAAAGGCATATAAATGGGGAGCACTAGCAGAGCCAGAATTTAGCAACTCTTAACCCTTTATTTCTCAGCTTGATACGAGTAAGGTTGTAACAAACGGAGGTAGTGGTACTGGCCTTCCATCACATTTCAAAGAACTACTTTGCAGCAGACTGCCAAAACTTACATGGTTGTTTTTGAAACGTCCTTCATGCTGGTTAAAGGGTCAGAGGTATCAGGACAACGCAAGAGGCAAGGAGCAAAAACAATGGCCAAGGCATTGGGTGACATACGGTTGACATCTTCGATCAAAGCCACTCTGAAATTCAATGTTCAGAACAAAAACAGATTTTTTAAGCGAACCTTGATAGAATACAAGCAATCTGATCAAACTATGCCAGAGTTCTCAAACAACATGTAAGGAGGCCTTTAGGGTACTAAGTACGTACAGCAGTTCAAAGAAGTGTTTTAAAATGATGTCTACTACGTAGACAAAGTTTCATGCATCAGAAAGAGAAACAGGAAGCCACCCAGGTTATCCTAGTTTGGTAGTCTCTCCAAGTCTCTCCAAACTGTCTGATGATTCAGTGCATTCTCTTTAAAACTCCTTTTCTCTGTGTTCAAAGGGCCACTCGGAAAATTCTCAAGTTCCTTGGCTAAGAGCAGCCCCTTTAGCAGTACCATTTATCCCTGCTCCCAAGACTAGCAACGTGCAAGCATTTATAACCCTTATGCAGTCCCCACCAAGTACGCGGACATCCTCGGTTCCCTATGTACCCATCCACGTAAATCCTGGTGTTCAGACGACTCACCAAGCCTTTCAGACCCACTTTGTCTCCAAAGCTGTTTTTACCCAGTTTGATACTTCTACCATCTGGTATATTTGTAAGCATGCATGTTTTTAAGCACAAGTATCAACTCCAATTCTTTCATTTCTAAACTAGCTGCACAATCCCTACACTGACACTCAAGGGATCCCTTGTGAGTTTTTAGAAAGCTTCCAAGAGGGACTCCAAAAAAGTCACACGGACATTCTCTCTAATGGAGGTAATTAAACTCATTACTTGACCAGATGGAAGATGAGTCGCTCCAAGGTATTATGATTTGCTTGTGGAAGCTGTTCAAGGACACTGTAAATGGCACAGAGCTGCTCCTGTTTTTCTGGTAGTTCTGCACAAGGGGAGAAAGCACAAGATCATAATTGCTGTGCAACGCTAGCGGAAAGTCACCAAGCACTTTCTGACGTTGTCTGAAACAGAAATTAAATTCTTAGAAGCCACACTGTCATTTCATTTACCAATTGTGATAACTGGATGTTAAAGTACCCCTCATGGCACTGCAATTTTCCTGCTTTTTCAGATGCTGCTGTTGTTAGCAACCATCAAGTGACACATCAAGATGTCTAACAATATTTAGGGCACCTTACTCTCACTGAACTTAAATGAACCTAAACGTTTGGGATATCTGGCTAGCTAGATCTAGTCCAGAACATCAAAGAGAAGAAGAAAATGAAAACAAACCAACACACTGTATGAAGGGAAATCTATTCACATGCTCATTGTTTTTAGAACAGGCAGTTGTGTAGTGATATTATGCTACAAAAAAAGAAATCCTAAAGGAAGGTCAAGTAAGCTAGATGAGAAATTCCCTGAAGAGTGTTTTATGTAAAACATCTAAAATCATTGCTGTAAGCATACTGGAAGGAAGCTGCTCAGCCAACATAAGCATCTTAGAGGTTCTTTTCCCAAGGACATAGCAAGTTAAAGAAAAAACTTTGCTTTAAACATTTCTAAAACCTACCTACAGCTCGGAGAAAATCATTGTACTGTGCAGATGTCATTAGTGGATCTGGTAATTCCCGTAGCCATTGCTTAAGGATCCCCGTAATAGTGTGAATAGGGTAATTCTCCAGTTTCACCGAGTTTGGATCTGAAAAGAAATATTTTCTTTAAAGCAGTTCATTCCTTTGATGTACACAATGAGACCCCAGAAACACTCAAATCTCCCGCTCACAGAA